TCATTTTTAAAAAGGTGGTTGAGTTTGGGTCATAATGTTGAGCCATATGCTGGGAAAAAAATATGAGTTTAATGTAGGAGCTTTTATTTTGAAGGGTCCCCGGAGTCTTATTTTGAAAGTCTATCAGGGTTGCGTGTGAAGGGAAGGGTCATGGCCAGTAGTTGTATTGTATCCACTTCCTAATGTTAAATCAGTGTTGTCTCCCTCCATTAGATTAAAATGTGCTGTTTAAAGTGGTGGAGGTAAAATCCCTTTGAAGCTCGGTTACCTTGACGACGTTAACGAGCCTGTCAGTGACAGAGAGACATGCGCTTCACTTTCGTTCCTTTGTTCTCAGGCTTTTATGAATGGGAATATCAGCTCCGAACAAACAAGTGCTGAAGACAAACCGTAAATGGTATCTAAAAAATTCTTTCAGTCTAAGCGAGAGCTATCCTTTCTCTCCAATTGGGGTAACTTTCATGGCTGTAGCTCATTCACAACCTTAATGGGAAGGAGGAATATAAAGGTTTGTAAATCCTGCTGGTCTCATTAACATGGAGTTCCACGGTAGAGCTGAACTCTCAAAAGCAAAACTTTCCCTCCGAACAAAGGAGCGGTGAGCTAAAACCGTATTAGATATTCAAAAAATTCTTTCACCGTGAGCGTCAGCAATCTTTGGACTACAACTGGTGTAACTTTCATATTTCTACAATATTTGGTCTAGGCGTGGTGACGATGTAAAAAAGTGTATAATTATCAAAATCTTGTTTTGGGGGTTCGGACAGATTTGTTACCCCCGAACAAACCTTTTTCCTAGCTAAACGATAAAAGATATCGACACACTTCCTTCAATGTGAGTGCTAGGAAGGTCTGAGGAACAACTTCAGCAAGGCTCATGTTGCTACGTCGAACGGTTCCCAAATGGGAGCGATACGAAAAAGTCTGTTTTTTTGAATTTTCAGTTCGGATTTTCAGAGAGCTCTCATTGGATTTCTATTGGGGAAGTGTGGACTTCTTCGTGGTCTGGGCCAAACTGTCGGAAAACTGTAAACGCCACACAAATAAGGGTTACATTTCCTGAATCCTGACAAAAATCCCTACGTTTTGATGTACAATTTATCTAGATAGGGTAAAAAATGAGCGAGTGAGTTGAAGCTGTTCGGCATGAGTGAAATGTTTGAAAACGTTAGAGTGGCACACTCTAGCAGCTGAACATTCCGTCCATAGACTTCCATTATAAATTTGAAAATTTGTAAAAATTGTTTAAAAGTTTGAAGCTTCACTGAAGCAAAACTGTAAAAGTTAGCTGAAAGCCGAGTTAAACAGTAATAGCAGAAAGATACAGATACATTTTAAAAGTTGAATGGTGTTTCTAGCTGAAAGTATGCTGAAGTAGTTAAAGGGCAAAGTAGCTGAAGATTTAGTGGAATTTTTGAAGTTTTAAATGTATTTCAATGGGACAGAAAAAGTCATGAAAACCTAAATATTTAAAAAAGTATAATAGCTGAAGTTACCAGAAGATACAACAGGATGGACCAGAAGAAGCTGAACGTTTTGATACCAAATTTGTTGAAATCGGCTGAAGTATGGGGAACTAGTTAGAGACGGAAAAACGTACGGAAAGTATAATAATAATAATAATAATAATAAAGAGAAACAGAAAAACAATAAGTGGGAATGCATAAGCATTCCCACTTGATTAACAATATGCTCATTGCAAACCCATTTAAGTCCCCATGAACGGCCAGCCCACAGAAAAGATCACTTCAGATCAAGGCCCAGGGAATAAGAGAAAGAGAAGGGGCCTGACATCTCTCGTATGAAGCTCTTTATGGGGTGGCTGATGAGCTCCAACACATTGCACCTGTGTGAGTCACATAGACCTGAAACACAAAGAGAGAGCTCCATCATGAAGAGAGCCCCTAGAGGTCAGTGACTGTAACAGAAAGTTAAGTGTCATCCAGGTTTTTATGTCTTCGAGACATGCCTTTCATCTAAGTAATGGGTTAGTTTCATCTGGATTTATAGACAGATAAAGCTGAGTATCATCAGCATAACAGTGGAAAGGAATCTTATGCTAACCAATAATTCTACCAATTGGGAGGTTTATTTATACTAAAAAGTGTCCCTTACACTGATCCCTGTGGTACTCCACAGCTAACCCTGGAGCATGAGGAAGATTTATCGTTAACATGAACAAACTGAAATCAGTCAGATAAATAAGATTTAAAGAATTCTAGTGTTTATATTATGATCAACTGTATCAAATGCTGCACTGAGATCTAAAAGGAGAAGTTCAGATACAAGTCTATTATCTGAGGCCATGAGAATATCATTAGTGAGTTTCTCTAGAGCTGTTTCAGTGCTATGATGAGCTCTAAAACCTGATTGAAACTCTTCAAATGGTTAATATTGGTGCAAATAGTGGTTTACTACTATTTTCTCTCTTTACTACTATTACTACTAGATAAGAAATGAAGATTGGATATAAGTCTATAATTGACCAAGTCATCCGGGCCAAGAGACGGTTTCTTAATTAAAGGTTTAATTTCTGTCACCTTAAAAGCTACCTTAAGCTAAACTATGTTCTCTCCACAGACTTAAAATGATTGACCATTTAGATGTATGTTATGGTTATTGTCGTGCTGGATCACTTAACTGGGTCGATAAATTAGATCATATGAATAACCAGGAGCAGGATCAAGTCTATAGTTTTATAAAATGGAACAGCAGTGTCACTGTTTTACATTATGGGCTGTCACTGTTATACATTACCATAATCTGAAATAATACCTACATTGTGTAATCCCGAATTTACGCCTACAGGCTTAAATGATATTTTCTGTGGAATCCATAAGGAAATGAAATGTTTTCTGGTGAAAATTTTTATGTTAAAGTGAAACAAAGTTGGAAAATTTCGGCACAAGAACAAGAAGGTTTGGAAGAAATATTAGGAGGCCTTTAGAACTTTAAAAACAGCAAACCAACTGGCCATCTCGCACAGTGAGGGAGGCATCAAGCTGTAAACATGGAGGAGCTGAAATGGGACAATAATCCCAGACAATGTACTATTAGAACAGACAAAGCAGGCTAAAGTTTGATCGGCTCTATATTAGCTGTTCTGTGCCAGATTAACTTTCAAATAAAAAGAGTATGAACAGATCTCCTTCCAGACGTGTCTTCTGTTATCATTTAACCCTGGAAAATTATTGGTTTAAATTGCATAATCAAAAAGATTTATATGAATTCAAAGTTCATGTTGATGGTGGACATATGGAAACTTCTGTCCCAAACTGTGGTTCAATCAAAACACAAAGTAGTAATTTTAAAGTGGCTTCAGTAATGTATTTATACAGAGGTAACGAAACCTTTTTTTTTTCTTGTGAACAAGGATTTCTCATGAAAAACGATTTACGTGAGAAAATATTAATAATTGACCAATTAGTTAGATATTATCACATTTCTTTTCTATCAGCTAATTGATAAGCTTGACTAATTATTTTGTTATCACCCTGTGTGGGTTGTTATAGTGTTGCAATACTGTGTGTGTTTGTATATGTTGGAGCGTATCCCCAAGCCAGCCGTTTGCTTTCTGAAGTATGTGCACACTCAGACAGCTGTTCCTCAGCTCGGCTGTTTGGGAAGCCACCAGGAAGTGTGTGTGTGTGTGTGTGTGTGTGTTAGTGAATGCGTGCAACATGCCGAGGCTTATGTCCTCAGATGTGATAAATAGAACCCTGAAATTACCCCCCTCTGTCTTGCACTGTAGACCCTCCACACATCATTGAGCTCATTTTTGTGTGTTTTTAAATTCCTGACAACAGGAATTTTTCCTAAAGCAAACATGATAAGTGAAGACTCATTTCTGATATGGATTCTAAGAACCGTCCTGTTTCAACTCAGTTCCTCCGTTTTTCTGTTTATCGTTCAAGTGCTACATCCTCATCAATGTTTTAATGATATCTGTGATCTTCCAGGAGTTGGCAATGATGAAGCAGACCCTGATCAGCATGCAGTCCAGAAAGGGAAAGGGTCTTGACCTGTTTGAAACTGGTAACAGTGCTACGAGGACCTCTAGAACAGCAGGGCAGCAGTCCAAACGCGTCAGCAGAACTGACGAGGAAGAATCATCAAACAAGCCCAAACCGACTGTTTTTGTAAGTGTGGGTTACACCCTTTTAATGAGTCACACCATTTTTACCGGCTATGTTTGACAAAAGAACACTCAACTTTAACATAACATAATGAATCGCTTCTCTGATGCTTAGTTTCATTGGAGCTCTTCATTCAAATCCACCTGAGCAAAGACGTACTTCTGAACATGTTCCATCTAGAGCTTGACCCAACAGACAGCAAGCAATCACAAATGACTAATATTTCATAAAAAAGCCCTGATCGCTGATTGACTGATCAAACACTAAAAGATAGGGTTTTTTGTTCAACGTTTACAGTGAATAGATCAAAGTTAAATTTTCCATGAAGACTTTGATGGAGATTTGGGAGAATAGCAAAAAAAAAAGCAGTGTTTGAGGGTAAAAAGTTGTTCTTGAAATTTTAAATATTTCCCGTAAAACAGTTTTTTTTATTATATTAAAAATCAAACAAATCTCTCAGAAGGCAAGAAAATGCAATATCCAAGTAGTTCAATTATGTACAACAAAAAAATAATGCAAACCTTCCATGGACCTGTTCAGGTGCTCCAACTGATTGGTCTTTTTCTCAAATATTAAGTATGGATCAACATCTCTCAATATTCAGGTTATTTCTCCATAAAGTTATTATGATCTCCATGTGGATGCAGGCTTGAACTATGGTAGCACTGAAAAATAAAAAGTCTTAAGTGTATGGCCACACCAGAAGGTTTTGGGTGAAAACTGACTTCTGCCTTTTCTAACCAAGACAGGTTAGAAAATCCAGAAGTTAATTCAGTCTTCCTGTGAGCCTCTTCCCAGCCTCTCTGACCAGGTTCAGCATTTTTCCTATTTTCTCCACTCATAAGTATGATGTAGTTTTTTGTTTTAATCTCCTTCTGATTGTTATGAATGAACTTTTGAAACCTCTTTGAAAACCAGGGCCCATTTTTCAAAAAAATGCTCCATATTCTCAGAGAGCTCCCATTTTAACATGAAAATTCCTGCCAAGGATTCTTGGAGGACCTCTCAATTTCTCTTAACCAGTTAAACTGAGCGTGTTTCAGCAAACAGCGCAGGGAAAATCTGGGCAAGTAGGAGACCCCATTGCACAAAAGAGTTTCTAGTAATCAATGGAGAAAAAATAACCGATTCTAGAATTTAGACTGAATCATGAAATGTGTGTCGTGATAATGAAAATTAGCAAGAAATAATTGTCACTTAAAATATTTGAAAACATATTTTTTATATCCTCATTTTTGTTTCAATTTTCTTATCGGTGTTTACTCACCATGCTGGTAAGTTTACCACTTTATTTAGTTGATATTAATTGGAACTTACCTGTCAGCAATTTTTTGCGATTGCGTGTTGGACCAATAAAAAAAAATGTGGGAAAAAGGTTGAGAAAATGAAACAAGGAACCTGCTATTGGCAGAGCAGTGGGAGGAGAAAAGCGGACTGTTGATTGGGATCATGGTGTGAAGAGGAGGACTCTGAGGAGTATTAACTGTGAGCAGATCGATACGTTTTTTTTTTTTTACATGCTGGTGTGCATTTACACACCAGCTGAATAGTGAGCAGCTCTATGTCCAGTGATGTAAACCCAAAGAGGAAATTTCACTGCCCTGGAAAATATCTAGATCTTATTTAGGATCTGTCTTATATTCTTTTCTACATTTTTCCACTTTTTAATCATGATTTAAAAATGACATTACTGGACGTGCACATTTAACCCTTCCAGCCCCTGAACTATTTACTTTTCCTCTATGGGAAAGATAAAAATTATCTTATCTCCATAGCAGTTAATAGGATCATTTACTCCACTGTTTAGTTGGTGGATCAGCCAACCAGTGTTTGACTATCTGTCCTCCATGTTGTGGTTTAGAAACCTCTAAGGCTCACTAAAGGTCTACCTTATTACTCTCACATTTTGTCACTTTAGGAGCTCTATGTGAATCATTTTTATCTTACTGGGGTAAAAAGACAACACTTAGAATCCTGTAAATATGGACCATTTTAAGTAAAATTACTTAACTAGCTACTTTTAGTGTTAGGAGTCTGTGTAAATATAAACTCAGGACTACAAGTTAAAGGTATAGAGGACAGTCTTTTATTTCCTGGTGGATCATCTAATAAGTGGTTCTCCTAATTGGCAATCATTCTGGTGATATGTTAATGTAAGGATGTCCTACGTCCTCGCCCCGTTAGCTATCTTTTCTGCGTCTGCACACTTTCAGCCGCATGTATGGTGTGCTACAGTTTCAGTCATTGCAGCTCACCTTTCTCACCACGGTTCTTTGAAAATGGCAGAGGGTCGTAAGAGGAAAAGTGTCTACGAAGCATATGAGAATTTCAAAAAAGGCCTCAGAAGAGGCATATATCCCAGAATGCTTTGCATGGAGAGCTCTCCTCACAAAGCACTACGGGATTTGCTATCACAGCGGCCCGCTGTCGCCATAGGCTGCCGCTACCTGACTGCTGCGACTAATAACAAAGAAGGCGCAGGCACCGCACGGGGGTGAAGGAGATACGTAACCAACGGAGCAAAAAGTAGAGATCATCTGTCCGAATGGTCATTTAACTGAGTTCGCTATAAAGTCCACTATATAGTCCCCACTGTGTGTGGACTCAGTAAGCTTGTATGAACTATGAGAACAGCACATTTTAAACGGGGCATGCGGGAGGAGAATTTAGCTTGTGCATGCTCTTGCATGCGCATTTTTTTTTTAAGTGGAGAGGACAGGTCGTTTAAAAAAATCTTCAGAATTACCTTTAAAGGATACAATTAAGCAAATGTGAAGAAAACTCCATTGAACTTAATTTTAATTCAATCAACATCTATAATTAATGGTGAATGAATGAAGACTAATTTTTAAAAGCCATTCAAAGTTGGATTTAAAAAGGTGATAGTTTTAGACTGTCCGTATTTCCGCAACAGAGTTGTTCCTTAACAGATATTGCATTTTAATTGTACAGGATATATATACCGCATTATATGTGGGAGAACACGTTCTAAATTGATTTATAAAACCCAAGCATTTTAACAGAGTATACACTTTTTAAACCATTGTATTCTTTATTGGATATATAAAAGTAAACTTGTAGTTCATTTTCTTACAGATCTAAAACATCAGCTTTCAGCAGCTTTTTTGCCGTGTATGTGTTTTTTTCTTAAAAAAATACAATCATTAGATCAGACCTAAAAGAAAACTAGATTTGTTGTTGTTGTTGACCATAAAAACCTTAATCGTTGTATTTGTCGTTGAATCAGAAGCTTTAGATAACTCTGTCTGTCCTATACTTTACACGTTTTTCTTTTTCTCTGTTTTGTTTTTTAGACCAAAGGAGAAGTTCCTGATTGGTACCAAAGGGCAAGGCAGAAACCTAAATGAGAATTTTCCATAATTTGGAGCCAATTCAGGATTTTTTTCTTATGTAAATGTAATAGTACAGTTTTTTCTTGTAAATGGTGTTTATGTTTTTATTACAAAAGTAAAACAAGTCACTTATATCTGGGTGTTGTTTTTGTTTTTGTCCAAATCGTGCTCACCAGTTGCACCAAAATTCCTCATCCTTGGCAGCGTTCAGCTTCGATGCCATTTATTCCTCATCTTTTTCAGCTACACATGCTGGTTGCTACAGACAAGCAACACAGCAGAAACTTTAGCCTTTGATTTGCTTGAGCTGAAACTCCTTTGGCTTTAAATATAGACATACTAGGCATGCCTTTATCATTTCAGACTACGTTCTTATTGGTGTCATATTAAACTCAGCCACACAGCCACTGGGAAGCAGTGCTGTGACCTTTTCAGTAGTTTTCTTTTAATTGTTCAAAGACATTCTCAAAATCCACCCATAAATATAGTTTGAATTTCCTGGTTAGAATGACTCAGTATTTCCTAATTGATTTGTCGTGTTTTCTTTTGATTACACTGATTTAGGAGTACTTTATAATATGCAGAAACTACTGTAGTTTTATATAAATGTGGACTGAATTTGATGTAAAGTTTTACCTTGAACATCAAACTATTTCATTTGGTTTCTATGTGACAGAACATTATAGAGTACAGCATAAATGATGAGAGAAAAAGAATATATCGGTCTAAAGATTTTTACTAAAAGAAATACAGATATTTGTATCTACCCCCTTCAGTCTGTTGCCCTTAAATAAAATCCAGTGCAACCAACTTTTGCACATCCAAAACATGGATAATGTAGATTATCCATCCTTGGCAGTTTTCATTCATATATGAATGAAAACTTGAATGAAAAATATAATATTAATCAAATAATCAGCAGCTCGAAAATAAAAATATCTGATATTTTATCTGGAATCTAATTGAACACATGGAAACCCATAGATAATATGACACAAAGCTGTTTTATTTAAGCATTTTGAACAATTATTATAGCTATTGCTGCTTATATTACATAGATACAAAGAGAAAATGATCAAAAGAGGATTTTGAACATATAAACCTATGTATTGTAATTGTCTAATTAAAAATTACTCTTAAGCTTTAAAACCATTTTAATGATTCACTTTCAACAATCAAGCTGTTTTTTTAAGATGGGGCAAGAGGTTTATATGACTTTAATATATATAAAAAAAACAATATCTCCTGATCTAAGAGGTAATTTTCATAGGTTGTGTTTAACTTTCTGAAAACGTTGCATTTATGTTTGCACTGGCTGTGAGTCATACTCAACTTAAGAGAAAATTTGAATAAACCTGAATGACTTTCTCTTTCACTGATATAAATCGGTAATATTCTGTCTATTACATGTGTATGAAGAGTGTTTATCAGTTCACTCTGAAGCTGTAAACAGGAAAACAGAGGATACCTTCTATTTTTTTTTTTTCGTTTCTAAAAGTACTGAATGTTCTCCACCTGTCCGGCCGGTCCTGCGCGCCTCAGGACGCTGCTGTGAATGGACTGAGATGGAGCGAAGGGCGGTGGCCGGCCTGCCTGCCTGCCGGGGAGCGAATAATCAAAGGCTTTGGGGAGGGAGGCTTGGATGGGCGGTGCGGGGTTCCGTATTTACACTGGGCCGCTCCGCCCTACGCAGACTGATAGAAAACTGTCTGCGGGCCGGAGGGATGGAACAAGTGGAAGGAGATGTTGCCGACAGGCACACATTAATTACTCCGCCACACGCTCAGCAGCAGCTCGTCCGGCTCCGCTCCTTCCTCATTGCGCTGTAGCAGCAGCAGCATCCTCCTCTCTGCAGAACAGGATCATCCGGGCAGCTGCTTCGGAGCTTCATGGCCGCAGCCCTGACGATGAGCGGCGCGCAGGAGGACCCGTTCTACCCGCTGCAGAAAGCTGCCTTCTCCCTGGACGACTCGGCGCTGTTCGGCTTGGACTGCAAGATCTCCGACTCGGACAAGGCAGGACAGAATGACTACACACAGGTAGGGAATCAAAGCAACTTCACATGTTATGTGTGTCTTTGAATGGGCGTGGCAGATAGCAGAGCGACCCCAGGTTTGTTTCCCTACTGGCCTGGAGATAATAAACGCGTGCGCCACTATCTGATTGCATTTCTCCCTTTTATTTTATTTATTTATTTGCTCTATTTCGGCCCTGAGCGATCAGGCTACCACCAGCAGACGCATTCAGCGCATGTTTGTCTGTGCCAGCCAGTTGGTCACCAGCTGTTGGCCTCCTTTGGTGTCCACTCACACCATCATACCACAGTAACGACAACTGACTCTGTCCTCAGTTATGGGGAAACTTGTGCAGCAAAGTGTGTGTAACAGCTGGTAGGGTTGTGGATCCTCAAATAGCAGCCCATCCCCAGACTACTACTGCTGCTGCTGCTGCAGCGGACAGGGAGACATGGGTGTTTCCCCCCATTCCCTGTCATGGTGCCTTTCATCCTCTGCTGCCTGGCTTATCTAACTTTCATGGCACCATATCAAGGTGAAGCATTCAGCTGTTATAATTGCGCCAATTTTAAGTTTCTTATTTCGTTTATGTCAAAACATGGTTGTATCCTTCACTGCTGGCCAAGGAGTTCGAGTTCAGCCTTTGCAGACAGTCAGGGAATGTTGCAGCTGCCGATTGATGGCTACATGATAAATGCTTTAGCAGTGAATGTTCTATCAAACATTTGTCTGAGAATAGATTTAGTAGAAGCGTGCTGATTGGTTGTGTTTATTGTCTCATCAGGTGAAGTGTGAAATGGAGCGGTATCTCTCACCTCCTGCCTTTCCGCCTCAAGCAGAGAGCCAGCAGAAGTCACACAGAGACACCACATCTGTGGTGGACCAGTTCTTTGGTGGAGATCATTCTGGGGCTCCCTACACGCTGAACATGAACTTTTACCTCCCCGACGTGGCCTACCTGAGGATGGGCTCTTGCGAGCAAGCGCGGCCCCCTCCGTCCCAGAACTGCGCTGGCCTTGGCCAAATTAAAACTGAAACTGCCTCTTCGTGTTTCGCCCCCAACCTACAGTCTCACTGCCCCAACAGTACGCCCACGAGCAGCTGCAGCACATCTGGGCATGACCCCGGCAACGTTGCCTTGGAAACCTCAGCCATAAACATGACGCTGACAGGGTTACCAGACTTCACTAGTGTTTTTACCCAGTCAGGAGGAGAGGTGTTCATCAAACAGGAAATGCCGTCGCAGTTCGAGCAGCACAGCATCCACCCCGACAACAGCGGCTCGCTCTTTCAGCTCCTGAGCACTGGCTTGGAGCATCACCACAACGATGGCATGGAGGCCCAGCAGCAGATGCAGCACAACTCCACTGCTCATTCACCTTTTCATGATTTGTCAGTAGCTGCAGCTTCTTCCCAGCAAGACCAGAGCACCAAAGCGGGCTACCACACCCTTTCTGCCGGGGTCTACGCGCATCCCCATGCTCAGGTGCACTCACATTTCTTGCAGCAGCAGGTGCCCTACTTGCCGCCCTCCCCGCCCAGCTCAGAGCCAGGCAGCCCAGACAGGCAGAAGGAGCTGCTCCACACCCTTTCCCCCCCTCCATCGTACGCTGCCACCATCGCCTCCAAGCTGGCAGGGACCACACCAGGTCTCAACCCTGTCCCAGGACCATCCGGCTTCGCCCTGCCAAACAACGGGGCCCCTACACCGGTCCATGGTCCGGCGACTCAGACCACAACCCAGAACTCCACAACTGTCCGCTACAACCGGAGGAACAACCCAGACTTGGAGAAACGCCGGATCCACCACTGTGATTACCCAGGTTAGCAGAGCAGCATTCGCAGGCTGATACTTCCTGCTGTATTGTATGTTTGTGTCTCTCCCGGCGCTGTGGTCAGGCTGACGTTTGGTCACTCAGAAAGGTCACCATTGTGACAACCAGATTCATTTTAAGACTCCTCTGCATTTTTTTGAAATTACAGGTTGCTCTTATAATTACTCTCCCAGACTGTAGGGTCACTATGCCTACATGACATAGTCTGCTGTAAAAGCTGCGTCGTTGCTTTAATGGAAATCATCTTCCCAATCATTTTCCTTTACTATAAAGTCTAAAAGGCCATTTGAATCTATTATCACAACTTAAACGTCTTTTTTCAATCCCAGTGTGGCGTTCCCACTGGCTGGAATGATTGTATCATGAACCTGTGCGTCTGTGGCTGTTTTAATTACACAGACGCTCTCTTGCAGTCATTTGATCTTTTTCCCCGCAACACACACACACAAAAACACACATTTGCATGCATGCTTGAGATTGCTCGCTTTAGTTAAAGTATTTTCTTAAACTGCTCCACAAACAGCCACACGCACTCAAGCTGTACGATGTGCAGCAACTTGTAGAACATGTTAACTAGCTTGTGGTGGCTTGTAAAAAAAAAAAAGAAAGAGAGAAGGGATTTCGGCGAGCTCCCTGCAGCCTGTTCCTACATGTTTAACTTCTTTAAAAGTGAGATGACACAAATCCATCACTTCAGCAATTCCGCCTTTCATAAAGGTATATGTTAGCTGTAGTCTTTGGGCGGCTCATTCCAATCACAGCAGGGCGGCATTCTTAGATGTTCTAATTATTTTCTTATAACTACGATCTTATGAGGACGAGCTTTAATGCTTTGAGTTTTGGACAAAGTGCTAGGATCCTTCTTTTTTTTTTTTTAAGAATCTCCGAAACTTTTACTGTGCTTCATTCCACACTGCTTCTGCTCTTCATTAGCTCAAATTTCTTGCATACCGCAGCTCGGTTTATTGGGTAAATGCATATCTGACACAAGCAGATTATTCTGTCTAAGCTGTCTGCTTTTGTTTATCTCCATGTCTTTGCCTCAGGCTGCAAGAAGGTCTACACCAAGTCGTCCCATCTGAAAGCCCACCTCAGGACTCACACGGGTAAGACTTTCTCTAATCAATGCACTTTTTTGCCCGGTGCGCTCAGGTTTCAGTATCTGCGCTGGCACCGTGTTGCTAGGCAGGCCATGGTCTTCTTGTCATGTGTTTGTAAATGTATCCCCATTCCTCATCCTCAGCCCCAATATACTATTCCATCAAAACAGGTGGAAGTGCCACACTTCTGCCAGGGGGATGACTCGCACAGTATGTGATCAGGGCTAGACATGTGCTGCCATCTTTCACAGAACCATGTTTGCAGATCCAATTATATTGTTCAGCTACACTTTTCTGACCCTATTGTTTTGGGGGGTTTTTTGTGGCTACAATTAAAGCCGATTTTTAATCCAACTCTGACTAGATAAAGCATAACACCTATAGAGGATGTCATCTTTTTGTAGTTTATTGTACATCGTCTCCCCAGGGGCATCACATAAGGCGTTTTTCATTAAGTGCACTTTATTTGGCCCTATACATTAGCAGGACAACAGTTGAGCCATAAGAGAACATATCAGGAAACAATCAAACTAACTAAAGATGTCTCTGCCATAGAGAGATGGTGCTTTGATAGATCCTCAGCGATCATTTTGAACAATATTGTTTTAAAAACAATGTCATCTCAATAATATGAGCTGGTGTTTTTTTCAGATCCCTTGTTTTAATCCCCCCTCTACCTCTGCTAAAAATGATCTCCAAGCAGACATATTCCTAAACACAATCCTACTACCTAAACCTATCATTCTTTCACCTGCAATACAGTACATATACCAGCAGCATAGTTTCCTGTCCAAACAGAAAAAACATCCCAACACTCCATGGTCAGAGGTGTAAAAGAGGGAATTTTTTTCATCTTTATAGATATTTTCCTTATTTAATATTAACTAACAAGGTTTAAAATTGATTTATGCTTAATTAGTGCCTTTTACCTTTGATTTCAAAATTAAAAAGAGCTATTTCAGTAGGTTATTAATTTGTTTGCTTTTGAATTAGTCATAAAGATTACCTGAGATCTATTTTACAAATAAAATTAGGAAATTTATGAATTCCAGATTCCAAATGATGCTGTATAAATATGCATATAAATCTGATATATCCACACATAATTTCCAAGAGTATGAATTAAGAAATGATATGAGTCCAAGTTTCTAAGTCTATCATTTAGTCATGAAGAATTTGGAAGTGAGGGCTTTATGCTGTGCAGTTATGTTCATATTCCTGTTTACGTCAATCTAACCAGGATACATTATTAAATGATCTAATGTGTTGGGCCTCTACATGCAAACCAATGAGATGGAATATTTCAAACTGGAATAAAAACAAATTCATACCAGTTAAATTTCTAAAGATCAACATTTTAATCGTAACAGTTTGCTTTAGCTTCTCCATGAACGGTCTTATAACCATGGCTCAGTGGGATCATTGATGTATAACTTTGGTTTAAGTGCAAAGTTCAGTCATTTGTAACCCCAATACAGCTCCAACGCTTCAGAATATATATCCATAGTCGTCCAAAAAGATGAATTATTCACCAAATTCTAGCAAATACTAGGAGATCAGCTTAATTCAGAAGCTTCGCGTTTAGTTTTTGTCATTGTGGTCGCATGGTTTCCTGCCCTTTCGTGCCCTCGACCACAGAGATTTTTGAATCGGTCAGGGACAACCAAAGCCTATAATTTGCTGTTTTCTAATTATTCTACTGTAAGAAAATGTAGTTGGATGACTAAACACTATCAATATGAATAACCTATTTTTAAAAAATAAAATAAAAATAGGGCTAAGTTTGCGGCTAATACATGCAAAACATGGCTATTTTTTGGCCGTTTATGTCCATAATTCATAGAAACTGAAACATAACAGTTTAAATGCACTGTATGAAATGATTCCTTCACTGGTAGGGAAAATCAAAAAGACAAAATCTGGGTATGGAGAGGTGAAATGTCAGGGAGCAGCTCTGTTAACAAGCCTCTTGTCTTCATGGACCAAAGTAAACCCAAAGCAGAATTAAAATGCATCTATTGTCTCTGTCCTTCTAAATGCTGTAAAATCCTCCAGTGGAAACAAATCAGCTATGTTTCTTGTTTATTTGTGTAGGTGAAAAGAGAAATTATGATGTGTGTACACTCTAACACATAGGACTTTTTTTTCTGCACATATGGAAAAAGTTTAATCACTTCCTTTTTAAAAAAAATTCTCCCCCAAACAATCCTTGTGGCTTCACTTTCCCTTTATCTGTGATCCCTTCCATCTCTATCTTCGTCTCAATCGGTTTCCTCCTTTCATATTTAGATTTGAACCATTTCGGTTTTCCTGGACAAGCAGAGTCAACAAACAAGTGCTTAGGTGTTGAGCCCCTCCTCGCTCCAGCTGACAAAACAAAGCTTCTGTTGATGAGCTATGCATTCCTGGCTCATCTGGAAGTACACACAAAAAGCTCACTCTCACCCAGAATCGGTTCCACTCATGAATCTGGGTTATTTTATTTTTTTAATCTTTAAAACGGCATTGCATGTGTATGTTTGTATGAAGTGCATATAAATATTAGGAACATGACACGACAATTGGCCCTGGCGTCATTCATGCTGCAGGCTGATTGTGGTTATTGCAGTTATTATAGACTGCAAGATGAGAGAGCAACATGTAAACGGTTGTATAGCTGCAGCTATATATCCTCCCTGCTTTCATCTGCCCCGTTTTTTTCCCCTCTGTCCCTTCCATTCATCCAGTCGCCGTCCTATCAGTTTTTTTCTATGCCCCCCACCCTTTGCGAAATCCCCCTCCCCCTCAGATTTATTTCTATCTTTGTATATTACTCATTCCACTTCTCTTGTTCAGTTGCTTGAATGCACACTGATACATCGACACACACTTCCTCATACACCTGTCAGTAATCTGTATGAGATGATTCCTAATGCGTTTGGGCCCCAGTGGGAGTTCCCACTCTAATCTCCATCAACATCCATTACCCTGATTGTGAGTGTGTTGGTCTATATTGGTTGTGCAGGGTGGGTGGATGTGTCTGAAAAACGGATCCAGTTTGCCCTTTCGTATCTCTGCTTATCTCCTGCCGCTGTGTGCATGCTCAGGTGTGTATGGATGTGTTTCTTTAGCGAGGCGACGTGATTCATCATGTAGCAGCTTAATTGCAGTTGTTTCAGCGATGCTTCACAGCATGTTGTGCTTGTTCAAAGAGTTGATGCAACCCGAGGAAGCTTAAAAACTACTTAACTACTTGCTTAACCTCTACTTTGAGCTGCATAATCAGTTTAGATTCAACACTTAGGAATAAAGACTTCACACTATAATGCTATTGAGGCAATTTAGCGTTTTGACCTCCTTAAGCTAACTGGATAGCAGTGTTTGCAAACGTATCTATCTTTCCACGGAAACCTTTTATGTGTGGTGGCCGTAGGCATTCTTCTTTCAAAATGCCTCCTTAATTTTCTACTGAACTCATTTGGGGTGACACGCTAGGTGACAATTTTTGCAAAGAACAAGCGTAGGATGGACTTTCTGTTTTGTTTTAACTGTGTAAGGGTCAGCTGTTGAGCAATGCAGCTCCATATCATGACTTTCCCATCTCCGTGCTCCACTTTCAGCACATTTTACTTGCTCTTGCATAAGAAAATCAAGGATGGTATGAGAGCTGAACATTTTTTGTTTAAAGCTGTAGTAATGTGATTGTATCTGATGCAATTGTTTTTTTTTTTTAAAGTTACGTTTCGTAAGGGTGGTTTATCAAGAATAAGAAGGAAAGGAATCGCTCAAGCATCTTAATCAGTTGACTTTTGATTGGTGATCAGTAGGTCAAATCTTTAAAAATTGTTTTGTTTCTGTTTTTTTCTGTTTATCAAATGAATAAAATCTCCTAACTTTCCCCAGGTTTTCAAAACACCAACAAACAGCAATATCATAGATGCACTTTCCCATCTGATCAATATTATATTCTAAGGTTAAAGACAGCTTTGTGTAATACTTTGACTTTCCCTTTTTAAAATGACCATATTTGACTATATTTATCTGGGTTGCCCTGTGAAAGCCTGGCGACCTTTCCAAGGTGTACCCCGCCTCTCGCCCGTTGACTGCTGGAGATATGTACCAACACCCCTCGCAACCCCGCTTGGGATAGCTTGATGGAAAATGGATGGATATATTTCATGTTATGCTCAATAGCTTGGAAAGTAAATGAGTTGTTTTAAACTCAGAATCAGCAAGTCGTACTTAAAAGAAAAGGAAACCCAGTAAAGATTGATTCATCGCTATAAATAATTCTTCAGTTGATTTGTGTAGTTATTCTCTGTTAAAGAGATGTATTTGTCTCAGAAAGTGAACATTTAAATGTTTAAAAAGGGCATAGCTATGTCTTGCAAGTTAAAGGCACAAAAGGTGTTTGGGCCAAGAGGCTGAGACAGGTGGTAATGTAAAGGTTGAAGAGTGACTCCTCGTGTATTTTGGCAAATCGCCTGAAGCCAGAGGTGTGGAATGAAGAAGTGACAAACAGTCTAAACCCATCAAAGACATGCCAGAAGCAGTGGTAGACAATACAGAGGAGTATCTGTGGGAAACTTGCACAGTTCTGTGTTGGAGTGCTTGATAAATGCCTCTGAGTGACAGCGTTATGACTGTATATGCTGTCAGCCAACAGGAATTTTCAGTGAAGCCTGTTTTCCTAGTTTCTCCACCTGACTTTGAGTCATTTAGAGGATTTAGCCTGTGTTTTCATTAAAACCACTGCCATCGCTACGTGCAACTCAAAAGGATTCTGCTCAGTTGCACAACTGTAAAGGTTCACCCGAGCACCTATGTTATCTCACCCTGTCGTACCTAAATATGCATCCATAATAGTCTTCTTCTCCTCCATCTTTGCAGGTGAGAAGCCGTACAGGTGCACATGGGACAGCTGCGACTGGCGCTTCGCCCGTTCGGACGAGCTCACCCGCCACTACCGGAAACACACGGGCGCCAAACCCTTCCAGTGCACCGTCTGTTCTCGCTCCTTTTCCAGATCCGACCACCTCGCCCTGCACATGAAGAGACACCAGAACTAGCGACGGTTTGCACACATGCAGGAGTCGTACTGTCTTCATCTTGAAACTCACATAAAGCACTCACCTCGTCTCCAACAGCTACAGTGTTAAACGACTGCGTGATGCCAAGAAGCATCATTCGCTATATCAATACAGCGGTTTAGGAAGAAGGTGGTGGACTATTTTGTTGCTCACCACCCTCACAGTGAATTTCTCTGGACAAAAAAAAAAACTAAACAGGAAAATCCACAACCTAAAAAAAAATGGTAGCTCCTTCGTGTTTCCAGTCCATTTGGATTTGGTGTGACTGGAATGAAATGCATAAAAAAAAAAAAAAAAACATGGTTTGTCTTTGTTGTAATACAGAACTCCTTAATTCAAACCTCTTCTTTGTTTACTTGTTGGTAGCTTTGTCTAAATAGCTGGAATATCCAGATTTGAATTTTTAACCAAATCTTTCGGTTTGCACTAGAACTGATCATACATCTCATGCACCACCAAAACGATCATTTTCACAACTGGACACGCCACGCCAGTCATCGCTGTCCGGACATTAAAAATTCAAAGCATTTATTCTCCTGAGACAAACGAAGATCGAGCAGAGAAAAACATGAGAGTAAGATAGAGATGGTGAGACTGAATTGTTTTTCATTTTATAGAGAGCTGATCTGCAGATGGCTGAGTAACGTAGGGACATGGGTGGATTGTAAAAAGCAGCCATTAGGCGATCAATTATTTAGGATGTGTTCTCGATGGATGTCCAGCTGGAGAAATGTAAGCAGACCTGACTCTGTTAAAACAGAAGCGGCTGTATTTATGCACAAGCTTGAATTCAATTTCTGTGCAGATTGTGCCATTCATTTTATTTCATTTTTGTACATCTTAACCAAAGTTTTAATCTTCACCATCAACACCTTATGAAGTGCCTCCTTCTCTGGGTATCGTGTTCCTGTTCTGCCAGAGCTGTGATTAGTGTAGGCGGTTCTTTTAAACACACATGGTGCTGTTTTTTTTGTTTTTTTTATTTGGTTCCTGTTCTATTCTAATCTCTAAGCATAGTATAGGGAGAGGGAAACAAAAAAACTTTAATATGCTAAAGCTGATCACCCCATTGTAATATAACAGCTCAGTTCTGAGCAACTCACAAACATCCTGACATTGTGTGGAGCTTTTATACTAAAGTGACTGTCTCTTCCTCCAAGGAGATTTTTTTAGCCTTTTTTTTATCTTGTAAACAGATAACTAGCAACTGGGTTCAATCAGGCCTTCAAACTCAAACAGGTGCTCAGTTAGAGGACAGATTCACTACGTTTTTGACTTGTGATATTTAATAACAAAGAAGCTGAATATTTTACACAGCAATTTTGTCTTCATCGCTCTGCTTTTAGCATCATGAGAGTAGTTTTGGTTAGAGATACATCAGTCAGTTTTCAAAATGATTTTTTAAAATCTCTTAAGTAAAGCTTTGACTTGCTGATACTAAAATTCCCTTTCATGAAATATAAGAACAGCATTCAAAATTGAGTTATTTAGCCTCTGTGCCTTGATTGGAGATTTATTTCTGCTTTTATGAAAGCAGATACATACAGTTATTGTAGTAAATGTAAAACTGGAAACTTTAAACCAACAATATGCCAGAGCAATTAGCAATTACCTTTGCCAAATCCAGCATATGGAATAAAAAATGAAGGTTGAAGAGCCAATCACAGCAATTTTTCTGTTCTCAATGATACTCCCTGCTATGATATGACAGTCTTGCTCTCTCTCTCTCGCTATTTCAAAGCTCAACAATTTTTCTTCCCTGATCCTGAAATGCATAATTTCCTTTAGTCTTCTTTGTGCATCTATAGCAACAACAGAAAAAGGTTGTTTTTGTCTGCAGACCCCAATATTGCTTACCTAGATCATATTTTTAAGTCATCAATGAGGTCAGCCAAGCTGAAAACTGACCTAAATTAGTTAGAAGCTGTTTTCTTTAGTATCTAAGCAAATTTAAACTGATCTCTATAATCACTGCGCCAGAATCCATTAAAGCTACAGTGTGTAATAATTACAGGCATATAAAGTCAGAAATTTAATATATTATACATAACTATGTTATTTATCATCACCTATGAGCTCAGCCTTTTAACCATAATATTTGCGTTGCCTTAGAATTCGTTATTTATAATTACATAGGAGCGGGTCTCGCAGCCATGGAGGCTGACATCTTTGCGCTACGGCAAGCGCAGAGGCAACAAACTAGCGATTGCGAGATCTCCCATGACGCTCAAAAATAACTACGGCAAGTTGAGAGAGATTAACTGAGACGGTACTGAACAGTAGATGGCAGTATTATGCCTGAGAAGCGTTTAGTCTGCCTGAAACCAAAGAAGAAGAAGAAGCAGGTATACTGCGCCTCAGTAACAAGAAAGGTGAACAAGGCGGCAGGCGTGAGTGACTTTGCAAACTGTTTGGCACTGTGTGGCCAAACATCAGACGAATGGAGGATCATGCCTACTCTGTATCACAATGAAAAGCGGCGGACACCGAACCCCCGTCATCTAAGAAGCGGAAACACGACGAGAATAAACGCAAGCGTGACAAGAAACGGCAAAAAACACGGATCAACATTGGCACGGCATTTACACGATGGAAGTCACTGATGGAGGAAAAAGGTTTTCAAAGTGACGCTCAAGTTGCCAGTTTTCTCTTGGACAGGTAATTAATCCTACACACACAATTGTCTAATATCACTGCAGTTTCAGGAGTACAGACCTGTCTAAAACAATAACATGCTGCGTGATGATGCTGTTACTCTCCAGTATACTTATTCAGCAACGTCCCTGACGTTTCACAGGTAATGATTCAGTAATTTTCTGTAAAATAATTTTCTGGATATATACCTCGGTTACTTCTCTCCGGCTCCTTTGGAGATCTTCAAGCCTTTCCTCCTCTGCTCTCACCCCGCTGGCTCCCCTCTCTCGCCTGGCCCTAGCTGCACGGCCTCCCTGCCTTCGCCCTCGTCCTCTCCCTCTCCCTCGCGTTGTAACCCCCGTGCCACCAAAATGACTTGGACTCTGTAAACGGGGAATATATATTCTTCCAGCGAACACAATCTCGCTGTTAAACTAATGACTACAATTACTTCGTCTGTTTATATCACCATGCAAAGCAGCTCACCAAGACGTCACAACGATGTAGAAAAAATAACGGGTATATTTATTATCTTAAGTCTACATGAAATCTATACCCTACACAGACTAATGAAATACTATCTGTAAAATTATCTATGTAAACAAACCTCATCACTTGAGAGGGTAGGTGATGCGGACGTCGTAGAAGAAATTTTGTCCCGTAACGCTCGCCGTACTGTTGGGGGGGAGAAGCGGTGGGGGGGAGATGTTCATGTTGCTGCGGTCTGTAGTCTGACCGCTAGATGTCGCTGAAAATTACACACTGTAGCTTTAAGGCCTAATGTAGCTTCTTAAATTAAATCAATGAAATCAAACAGAAAATTGTAATAAAATGAGTTTCAATTGATTTTGTTTGTAGATGTAGGACAAAAACGCTTTATCATATGTCTTAATGGATTATTTTATGCACCGAACATGAGATTTAGTAGGAAATAAGTGAACCTGTCCTCTAACATAGACCCGAGTGTCAGTTTGATGGTGTGATTCAGCCTTTATCTATAACTGTAATTGTTCATTCACTGCAGGTAGCTTAAAATAATATAGCACTGTAATCTAACAAGGGAAATCTCTCTATTTATTTAATTGTGTAGAAGCTGGGACATAACTGATCCACTGTGGTTTTACCCCAGCATAAATGCCTTAATGTAAATAAATGCACTGTAAATACATTTTTGTTCCCTTTTTTATTGTTTGTAAACAAAAGGGCAGGAAATGAGAAAAATGCCCTGCATCCAAAAATATTTGAGCCTTTCTCCTCAGTTTTGCTCTCTCGTCCAAACTATAATGATGCCATTGTTTAACAACTTATTTTTTGTAGTCTATTTGTCTTTTCTCTTCCTTCCATGGTAAACGTTCCAAAGACAAAAGTTGTTTTCTCCTCAACTGAGTGAAACCAATGCTAATAAAGTCAAATGACACTTTTACAGATGTGTTGTCGGGCTGAAATTATTGAAATGGGAACATTTCCGTTCTCCTAACCTGCTTCCATGTGGAAATAATGCAAACATAAGCTACAGTGAGTGCTTTCTCCATGAGGTTTGGATTAAAGCTGGGGCCTGCTGTGCAGCTAGAAAGCAAAGTGCCTGAGGGGATATTAAAACAAGTCTGAATAAAGCAAACTGCGCATTATATCATCTTAAAATCAGAGAGCTTTTATTATAGCATTGATCGAGCTGATTTTTGTGATGGAGAGCAAATAAAGATAAGGAAAAAAATACATAGGAGAGGCAGGGGCCCCTTATCCAGGACCTGTAAGTAACCTGCAGTACTCTTGCTGTCAACAAACAATAGCTCTTTGATATCACAGCAAGAGACAATGGACAAGAAAATAAATCTGACCACCACTTGGGGACCAGAGAGGGGGATCCCACTGCATTGAACTGGACTTTTAAACACGCTCTCGGCACCATATGTTCCTGGTTTGAGTCACAAATGTGACCCGGGGTCTCTGTTGTAATCTACCTCAGATGTCTGCAGAGGGGAGGAAGATAGAGAGAAAAGAAGTGAAATGCAGAACAATCCAAACAAAAGAATCTCTGGAGGGACCCAATCAGCCACTTCCGCCCTCCTACATCTCCTCCTCCGCTCTACTTCTTATTTGATTTCATTTTTCTCTCCTGCTTTGCCTTGTCTTTCCAGGCACCGTAGCCCCTCCGGTACTTTATCGGTGGGAAGTACTGCTGCTCTGTAGGTCAGAGAGGAAGCCGTTCTCATAACCTGCTCAAATCCTCATCTTCATTCAGAAAAGAAAGCCTGGCAGGTATTTGTTAGAAGCTGTGATGTAAGAGAAGAAGCAGAGAGGCTGTCACACACACACACACACACCCTCAGCAGTGATGAGTGAGTGGGAGCTACCGGTTCATGTTTTTGGATCAGCTAAATTAATGTCACACATCTGGAAGAGGGCTTCTGCCTGCTCCACCCTCCGCTGTGATGCGTTGGTGTGATTCCCAGTTTCCCCTTTTATGAGTGTGTTTGTGAGTGTGCATGCTGGTATAAAGTTTCCAGTGCACCTCTCTTGAAACAGACCACCCACTCAGAGGACCCACAGAGTGACCGAGGAGAGAGCGGATAGACACTGACTTAACCTCACATGTGCAGCTCTGTTTAAAATCAACTCTTCCCGATTTTCTCAGAATAGAACATGTTATCAGAGATGGGGGAGATACGGCAGCAGCTGACATGTTAGTTTGCAGTGGAAAAATAATATGAAACATGGAGGGAGGTGAAGGGTTCACTGCGAGATGTTTTTACAGAATGTTGCCTCAGGTGAACTGAGCTACATCATCAAAGCTGAAGCCTCACCTTAGCTACTCCTGTTTGACGTTAATGCCTGTGCTGCCAGTGTTCATGCTGATGAGTTGGTTGCATCATTATAACCATTGAGCACAAAAATCTGGATCATTTCTGTTCTCTTTA